TCAGCAGGGCTTTGCCAGCCGCCTTGGGTATTTTGGGAGGAAACCGAGCCACGTAACTGGACTTAAAGCAGGTTATTGAAGTTCTTCTGTTCCTTTTCCTTTCAGTAGCTGTTCTGCAGACCCGTTATCTTACTGACCGGTGCGGGGAGGGAGAGAGGTAGTGTCATGTCAGCGGCCCGTAAAAATACAGCTCTTGGGGATTTTCAGCGCACGTAAACTAAGTTGTTCCGATGAAAATTTCAACCAGTGAGGTCTTAAATCCCTTCCTTTCTGTTTTTCCTGGTACACCCTTCCCACTGAGCACGCTTGCCCACGGGAAATGCTCCTTCTAGAGCAGAAGGATTACAATTCAGCATTATTTTTCCCTCCGTTTTACTCTCCTGAGAGGGCAGAGCCAGGTGTAGGCAGACCCGCTCGCTGGCTTGCGCGGAGCTGTTAGCGCTGCCCGTTCCGAGCGAGGGGGCCCAGGTGTGGGAGTATCGCCCCGCAGCTCCGAGTCCCACGTGGACAGCCCGGGACCAGGCTGCGGCTTCGGCAGCGCTTCCTGCGGGCTGTACTTAGGCTTTTACCACGTGGTCAGGCTTCGGCCACTTAAAACAGGGATTTGTTTCAGTTCTGGTGTTGGTGCTTCCTGTGGAAATGCTGTGGTGGCTCACATTTAAGGGTTTGGACTGTTTAAATTTGTCAGAGGCTGTAAAAATCCTGCTCGTTTTATCCTGTTGGACATGATCCCAGTCACCCTGCCCGGCAAGACTCGGAATATGCTTTTCAGAGAAGCTTTCAACGTAAGGGAATAATGACCATGAAAACCAACGAAATAATGAAATACGAGTAGTGAAAATAACAAATGATGAATAACGAAAATCACGTTATGAAATAATGAATAACAAAACCTGATTTTCTAGTGATTGGCACAGATTATTTCCTGGTGGGAGAGCAGCTTCCTCTCTCCCGTTGCTGGTCCGGGTCGGCAGCCCTGTGATGCGGAAGCCGGCCTGTCCGGCAGCGTGCCGGTGGCACGGGGGGCCCAGGGCAGGAGGAACGTGGCTTGGGGGAGCGGGCAGGGGCTTGTAGGCCGGCTGTCACAGGTGACAGAAGTGGACAGGCTCATGTCCCCCTTCATCAGGATCCCGGAGGAAAACTCAGGTGGAACGCTTGGGGCAGAAAGCTAAAGACTGGGTTTTTTTTTAAGCTCACGCGCTGTGCGAACTTCCTCCCTCGCTTCTCTTCCTCCTTACGGGCTGAGTCACTGCGGAGGGTCCCGGTTCTGTCGCAGGGACAGCCAGATGTGGAAGTACGTCCGTGTGACGGCACG